GACACTGCCCCATTGTGAGCCGACGTTCTGGGAGCCCAGCCTCAGAGCACCAGCAGGGTTCCACAGGGAAAGCAGGCCTGTCAAGATGAGCCCTGCAGTCTAGGAGCCCGTCCTTAGACCTATCTAAGGTCTAACTGAATGTGAGCTCCCAAGGCAATGTTGTAGCTAAGAAAGCAAATGCAAACATTGGATCCCTGAGCAGAGGGATATCAAATGGGAGGAGGGAGGTAATATTAACTCTGTATAGGGCATTAGTGAGACCATTACTGGAACACTGTGTCCAGTTCGGGGTCCACACTTCAAAAAGGATGTTGACAAATTGGAAAGAGTTCAGAAAATAACTACAAGAATGATTTGAGGTCTGGAAAACTGGCCTTCTAGACAGAGAAACAGGCCCCCTAGAGAGAAATATATGGGCATGATGCAAAATTTACGGCGTGTGGTTCTGTTGTGGCCCATGTTGTAGGTAGACTCTTCTAGGCACGCTGGTTTTGAGATGTCAATGTGTTCTGAACAAGTGTCGTTCCCTCAGCAATGCCACTGCACTGAAACCAAACTTCATAGACCGAAGCGGAGCTGGTTGGGTGGGCTTAAAGCCATTTACCCAGCACACTGACCAAGACATACACATGCATATCGGCTCCAGACTACTCTGACATCTCTATGCTGTTTTCACTTACAACGTAAGCCCAATCTGAGCGAAAGCAGCAAAAAAGGTCAGCACATTACCTCCTATGTCACATCCCCTGCCATCATTATGTTCAGTCACTTTTTTAATGCAGCGTACATTAAACCTCCTAATGTCTCTGAAAATACCAACCTCTGTCCTGCTAGCCCCATGTCTTGAGCTGCTATGTTCATTCTATTTAAGATGTTTCAACTACATTGATTAAAACCTCCTCATCTTCCTTTTTCAGGATTCATAAATTAGCCTTTTAGCTTGCTGGCGGTGATCTCAGATACAATAGATAACAGGCTCTGCTAGGCATCCGGCCATTTCGAAAGCCATCACTTACGTTGGCTTCACCTTTACTGCTTTTCAGCGTGAATAGCTGGAGGTGCGTAGCCATAATTCAACACATTTTTCTTAAAAAGGGCCTTTCACACCGGGCAAAGCTTTCAAATGCATCATACTTAAATAGAGTTTCACTTAACTTTCTTGCATAACTTTCCTTAATGATTTTTTCATTTAACATTTTCAAGTAAATTTAGTACATGTGAAAGATAGCAGATGGATAGCCCTTGAAGAATGAAAGCCCTCTGTTTATGCACAGGAGAGGTGCATTAAATCCTGCTTATGCACACGATGGGTGTGGCACAACACATGGGCAGGTCATGGTTCCGCCAATGTGCCTGGAACCTGACTTAGAGGGAGTACGTCCAAGGGGTCAGTTTTCATGGCCCACCCAGGTCTTCACATCTGTGCTGAGACTTGTCAACAAAGGTGCTAATTAATGCCAAATGCAGGGCTGTTTTCTGCGATGGGAGCACGTAGCTACTAGGAACTGGATGTGAGTCTGGTGGGCTCAGCGCCACAGGCCACCAAAAAGCCAAGGCTGATTTTGCTAATTACTTATGGAAAAAAGAAGGGATTTTTTTTTGGTTTCTTCCATAGACAGCGCATTGGAGCAGATGCATGACATCACAAACAAGTCGATGGCAATAGCATGCTGTGTGATAAATAGAGGATCCTGGCTCTGCTACAGGACTAAGCTGAAAGAGGAAATGGATTGTGTAGGAGAAAGCTCTTAAAACACAAATATCAGCAATATTAGCAAAGGGAGTAGAGAAAATTGCTAGCAGAGTAAATAGCTTTTTGTATAAACGTTCTCTTTATTCAAGTTTTCCCCAGTGCTCAGTCCTCCCTTTAAGGCTTGGAGAATTGATGTTCTTTCAAAAGCGTTGATTATCCGATACGCTTTTAGTTCCTTCCTGCTCACCAAAACTAACTGAGAAGAAACTAAAACGGAGTTGAGTTTCTCATGCGTTTTCGGACAAAATGAATAGCCTTTGGAATAGCCCAAGGCAGGCATCTACTCTGCTGCCTCAGTGGAGTCCAGAGATTCCCTTTCCAGGCAGTTGGCCAAATTCTAGCTTAATTTATGCTCATGCTATCTATGTTTTCAAAATGGTTGCATGGATGAAACTGACAGCAGAATTTGACCTCTTGTCTCCTGATTGATGATTAGCTTGAAGCACTTTCTGAGTGATTTTTGGACATGAACAATTCCGAATACTTGCACGAGGCCCTCAGGCAGTTCTTCAGATCCTAAAAGGTTTCCATCTGGGTGGGTCAAGTTCTAGAAGTGCTCAGAAATCAGGTGAACTTGCTCCTTCTTTTTGGAAAAGCTACTGATAGAAGAGCCTCAGCTTAATTAATTGGGTCTCTCATCGCTGATCATTATGAGGGACACAAACAATCCCTTCTGTGTTCATATTCCCATCTTCACTTGAAAATTAAAAGAAACATTTTTAACTACTTGAATAATGAGGGTGAAGGGAAATGCTGTGCTAATGACTATGTGGGAAAGTAATAGCATTAACACTAGTGTTAAGGATACTGCAATCAGTCTCCAATCTTTCCTTGGGAGCTGAAGAAATGCCGAGACAAAGACCTAAGTTCAGCCTAGCCCGAGCATATAGAGCTCAAACCTGCATTGACTCCATCTGAAAAACATTAGATCTGATCTTCCCCAAAGTTTAGGGTGATTTGGACCTGGGGTTTTATATTGGGCTTATCTCTAGGTCTGGAGTGAGAGACCTGTAGATAGGTGAAGCATTCCATTCTACATCCTTATGCTATGAAAGTTAAATCCCAAACTCACAGGCTTTTCAAAGTATCTGTGTTGTTGTTTCCTGCTAATAAGGCACCTGATCCAAAGCCCAGTTAAGTCAATGAAAAACTCTCATTGACTTTAGTAGGTTCTGGGATCAGGCCCAAAGGCTGCGGGGGGTAGATACTTCTGCTCCATCCAGGTCTCTCACCCTCCCTTTATGCCCGATTCAAACAGAGCATCTGAATGACCACCTAGAAGTGCCTCTCTGCATTCTGTGACCTCTCCAGGCAGGAGCTTTCTATTTAAAGCCATGATGCCCAATAAACGATATCATTTCGATGTGGAGATCATTGCACTGACGATCATGATGGTGGTACTGAACGTTCTTGGCAGGATTGCCACAGTGGCCTAGTGGTGGTGCTTTCCCATGTAAACACCCACTGTTAAATTCCCAGTTCTAGATTCATTTCTCCTGAAGAGGCCAAGAACTATGAGGAGAGACAGTGGAACAAACTGCTTACACCAGCAGTGAATTTGGTCCACCAGGCCCTTGAAGGAAGGCGTGTCTCATGCTGCTTAACGGCCCAGTGAGCTCCCTTTACTCATATTGCCTTTAAAGAAGCCTGATTTACATAGGGTGAGTGCTCAGTAATTCTGGCCTCTTTAAGGCACCCCAACATTGAGGCATCTCAACACGTACTCATTTGGCCCTGTAGGAGCAACATTGATGTGTTCGGAAGGCGAATTGCACCCAGTCTCTCCTTAACCAGAACGATGGTGGGGCTTCAACGGCGTGGTGGGAATCTAGGGTTCGGGCTGGGACAGAGAGGCGCTCTTGAGGGGGACAGTGCTGCTGATATACACCCAGGCTTCTAGGGTAATGCACTTGGAGGCAGTGATGGATAGACTATTGATTTTGTTTGCTAAGACACTGAAGTTCTTTCCCTCTTGATAAGTGTTGATGGGGTAACAGTTCAAACTACTCAATGGATGTGTGTATGTCTTTCCCCCTTCTTGTCAAGCTTAGTCATTCTGCAATATAAATTGCTCTAACTCGCTAAATGAATAGTATTAAACTGGAGGTCTTGAAAACAGTAGAGCCCTATACAAATTTCTGAACAGAGGCACCTGTGTAACAGTCTCATGGCAAACACATTAATTCAGGTTTAATCAGTAGCTTGCAATTTTTGGAAAGGCGAGATTTTGCTTTTTAGGCACATTACACTTCTTTGACCTTGTCATTTTTAGGTGATTTTTTTTTAATTACATTGATCTCTTTCTTCTTTTGCAACTCGTGTAAGATACACAACAGTAGCTTATATTCTCAAAAGTGACTCTTTTTTGGAGTGCGCAACTTGAGATGCTTTGGAGGAGTCTGATTTTCAGATGGCTGGGTGCTCAGCAAGTTTGGTCTTCTTTAAGTGTCTCCAGGTGGGCACCCAAAAAAACATAGTTAGTTTTGAAAAATGTAGGCAAGTGTAAATACAAAGGCATTTATCCTAGAATAGAGCTAATACTGGAAAGATTACATGGAAAAGTAACTTAGCTCTACTCCGACTGCGGCAAGCACATTTGGTTAGTAGGGTTTGATCTATGCTGAACAATAAAAAGAAATGTCACCACTAAAAGGCGTTTGGATCAGAGAGATGTTAACATAAATGCCTGAATATGGACACCCAGTTACAAATCTCCCCGTCTCACTCGGTCTCAACCAGCTTTTACATTAAAACTTGTAATGATGATACATGACTTCCTTAAATTACTATGAATTTATTTGAAACCAAAGAGAAAGTGGGTCATTGAGGCTTTGTGTCCAGTAAGATGTATGTGGGATGATGAAATGTAGAGTGTGTTAAATGGATCTACCATTAATGGCAACTAATGATGGGCACTAAGATACTATTGAAAGTTATAAGTATAATACCCATGACCATGTTAATAATGAGTTATGGCCATTATGAAGACAGTAGTGACAATATTTCAATGGTATGCAGATTATCCAGTTTCTTTCTTTTTCCTCTGTTTCGTTTTCTTAAAAGCTGGTCATTTAGTGGGGAAAAAATGTGATGCGATATACCATGAAGCACCTGTTCTGTTGTACACTCAAGATAATTCATTGGCTTTGGCCATAGCTATGGAAAACTTTGCAATAGTTCAAACCTGGCAGGTCTCATAACAAAGTGACCATTTTCAATACTCCAAAAACATGTTTTGTCATTCTAGTGGACTTCCCAAGGTTAGAGGACGGCTTTGCAATCCCTGGGCGAGACACTGGAGATGACAATGAAGCTGGTAAGTATAAAACAGACAATTTAGGGGGAACTTATGTTGCAGGTTCTGGTTCATGCCTATCTCTAATTATTACGTGGTTCCAATCCCCAAGGGGCCCACTCATCTCAGTTCCCCCTTCCTGATCCCAACAGCCCTCCAGAAACCATCTTACCCCTCAACTCCCGTTCCCCAATCCCAAACCGACTCTCTATATTTGGTAATAAACCATCATTGGGAGGGTAGACAGACAGTGTCACACCTGACAATCACAGTGATTCTCAACCAGGAGTACATGTACCCCTGGGGGTACACTGAGGTCTTCCAGGGGGTACATCAACTCATCTAGATATTTGCCTAGTTTTACAACAGGCTACATAAAAAGCATTAATGAAGTCAGTACAAACTAAAATGTCATACAATGATTTGTTTATACTGCTCTATATACTATACACTGAAATGTAAGTACAATATTTATATTCCAGTTGATTTATTTTATAATTATATCGTTAAAAATGAGAAAGTAAGCATTTTTTCAGTAATACTGTGCTTTTGTTAGGTGAAACTTGGGGGTACACAAGACAAATCAGACTCCTTAAAGGGGTACAGTTATCTGGAAAGATTGAGAGCCACTGGTCTATCGGATGGGTTCTGAATGGCTGGTCTGTTAAAATCTCACATGCTCCAACTCTTCCCCCAGTTCATAGCTTGTTCAGAATCCTCTGCTCTGAACTAGGAGCAGTGTACATTGTTTACAAAATTTGAAGAAGCAGTGTGGTCTAGTGGTCACAGCAAAGGACTTGGCATCAGGAGAGCGGAGTTTTAGTTCAACTCTGCTACTGGCTCTTTGTGTGGCCTTGGGCCAGTCATCAATCTCTCTGTGTTTTGGTTTCCCCCTCTCCAAAGTGGGGGTAATAATACTCTTCTCTCCTTAGCAAAGTACTTTGAGATCTCCAGAGTATTACAATTAAGACAGCAGCCGGCCGGTTTAAGAGACACTGGCTGATTTCAGCAAAGGAAGGAGACACCTCTTCAGGCAGGGAGAGCTGGGCCTTAAGTATAATTGAACTTTACAAATCTTCAAAAATTCTTAGGGATTCATTTCAGGATTTGGGATGAGGTTTGGCCATTTTTTTTTTTAATCAAAATAACGGGCCAGATCTTCAACTGGTGAATCAGCGTAGTTCCACTGAACCCAGCTCACGGCCCCTGAGAATCTGCCCCTTATGTCTTTGTGGAGCCTATGACTGAAGTTCACCTGAGCATAGGGTTTGAAGTCTGGGAGTCCTCACTAGGCAGCCTTGGGATGATAATACTTATCCCCCTGCCTCACAGGGGCTGTTGTGAGAATTAACAAATGTGTGTGCCTACAGGGTTCTGAACACGTCTCAGTTACTGATGGAAATGTACTGCAATAGTAGTTACAAGTAACACTCTTGCCTTCAGTGAAACCCAACAGTGATATTGCATAGGAAGTATGGGCCTGATCCTGTGCCCATTGTCATAAATAACAAAGCTCCGATTGACATCAGTGGTGCAGGATAAGGCCCTGTTGGAAGAGTGCTTTCTATAGATGAAGCGTCCTTTCAGTCAAGACCGATGTACTTAGTTTAGGAACGTTTATAGTGATGCTGCTTAACACCTTCTCTGTTTATTTCTCAAGGACTTAAAATGCGGTATGGTAAAAAAAAGTGGTTATATAAAAGCAGGCACCTTGTTACTAAATAGATGCTGTCCCTATTACTGTATATGTGCCATTCAAGTGGCCTCTAAGTTTCTAAAAAATACAAATTTCCCCCCCCCCCCTTTTTTTTACTACTATCAGCACTGCAAAGTCGACAAACTGTTTTTGTGGTGGCACCAAGAGAACTGAACGTTCAAACATTAATTGGAGCTCACATGGCATCTTGTCTTGTAAATGGCGCAAATTAGGTATGGAAGCTTTGACAGGTCACAGAGACCCTGAGAGGTGATTCCCACAGAACCAGATTTCTGACTACAACTGCACTTGAAAAGTCAGATCCTCGGCTGGTTTAAACTGTTATAGGTCCATTGACTTAAAGCTCTGCTGATTTACGCCAGCCGAGGATCTGGCCCTAAATCTGACCATCGCAGATTCCGTGATTTACAAATAAGTTGAAGGTGAATAAATGATCTCTGTCAATTATATTGCAGATTATTTTGGTCTGGATAACAACACCACACTGTTCTCTACTAACTCTCCAGTAGCCCCAAAGCTGGACAAAGACAAGAGCTGGCTCTACACTCTGGATCCAATCCTAGTCACCATCATAGCTATGAGTTCGCTTGGAGTTCTCCTAGGGGCCATTTGTGCTGGGTTATTGCTCTACTGTACATGCTCCTATACTGGTCTTTCCTCTCGAAGCTCCACTACTCTGGAGAACTACAACTTTGAGCTGTATGATGGCATCAAGCACAAAGTCAAAATGAATCACCAGAAGTGCTGTTCTGAGGCATGACTGATTGCACCGGAATCACATGTGACATTTCATTCCAGCGAGAGTAGCTGGTGAAGATTACTTGTTGTCTATGGGAATGGAATGCCATAATCTCAAACCAATCTGGAATACAGAAGGGGGCATGGGCATGAGGCCCCTGTCGTAAACTACAGTTGTAGACTCCAGTAAGCGGATTACAATCTGCAAGGACTACGGTAGCTGAATAATTATTTTAATGATGAGAACTGTGTTGGAACAAGGAAAGGAGCTCAGATGCTCCCCTGCCCCTTTATGTGAATGATTGAGACGTGTCCAAGGAAATGTTGCTTTACCTTTTGGATGTGAGAAATAAAATGTTGATCATTATTTCCCACTTCCTTTCCCGAATACGTGGCTGAAAATTTCTCAGCCATTCTGTCTTTAGAAATAACACACACACAAAAGCCCATCCCGCTTCTCTCCCCATTCAGATATTCTTTTGAGTTAAGGGATTTGTTCTTGGTGCACGTTATACAAACCTGGCGAGCTGCACTTTCTACGCCTAAAATGAAAGCAGGTTGTTGCCTTTAACTTTCCATAGCCAGGCGGCGTAGGGGGTGGAAAGAATTACACCAATGTTAGGGTCAATGGAAACAGCCATGCTTTCTTAAGAGATTAAGAAGCAAAATAGAAAGGAAACCTTACATGTAGACGCACCCCTCGGAGAGAAGCTGAAGAGCCTTAAAGTGATTTATGAATAAGAGCCATTTATTAAATCCAGAACTTGGATTGAAACAGCAGCGACCTTCCTCAGAAGGGCTCTTTTTATTTCTTTTATCCTTTTTTAAAGTATATATATAAGAAAATTGCAGCAAACAAAAGACACACAATTGTAAGGTTCCCAAGACTCTGGAGATGGCTTTTTTGAGAGAATGGTCTGCTATATATATAGCTATATATTTAAATTCTTTGATAATGTGATGGCCACTCAGAATAAGAAGGAAAAAATTAACTATTATCATGCACCATTCCGTGGAGTGGGATGCGGTGCGGGGTGAGACCCAACACACTTAGATTAATTGACTGCCCTACTAAGACGGTAACCATTCTTTCTCCTTTGGGTTATGGTAACTTCCTCTGCTTTCCACGGAGTCAGGTATGAGCTGCAAGACTCCAGTCTGGATATCAAGTAAACAGTTTAGACCAAAATGCGGTCATCTTCTCATCCCTTCAGAGCGAAGTGCTCTGCTTCTGACCTGTTGCCAACACCAACAACAAAATTATGTGGTGTTTTGTTTTGTTTGTTAATCAAGTGCCTTAGAAAAACATAGTGTTTCTATGTCTAGAGATCAGTGATGTATCAGACTACAAGCAAGGCGTTCATCCTTCCCCTCTTCGTAATATATTCTTCATGGGCGCTCTACTGGGTAGAGCCTAATTGAAGAGTCTTGTCTTTGTACTTGCAAGTGGTCTGGCTATATTTTCTCTCTGTGTCTATGTGATCATGCCACACAAGAGATGTGTTATGTCCATAGTGTAGTAAATGAAAAGGTTTAAAATCCCTGGTTTCACATCAATGATGTTATTTCAGTTTTAATACAGCTGGGTTATCTATATGAATGTTTCCATATTACTGCACATGGATTATCCATATGCCAGCAAGAACCCAACACCCAATTTTATTCCTAAAGGGTCCATATATCCTGTTGTTTTCATATGATCTTCCAGGATCTTCTTGTGAGAACCTGACGTGGCTTCGCTTTTCATTTCAGATATCAAAGTATTTTTGTTTTGTTTTTTTTACAGTCTCAAAGTTTTCTGGGCATAACGCTACATGGAATAGCATTTGCTCTGTGTACTAGGAACAAGCCAGCCAGTAGAACAAGTGCTCAGTGTGATGAGCAGCATTTGGAGTGAAGAGAAAAGAAGTAGAATGACTGTGGGCACAATTCAGGGGTTCTTTAGCTCACCATGAATGTTAATGGCTCTTGTTGAGAGTTTCATGAAAAGCTCACTTGGAAAAATCCGCCTGAAAAGTAAGCATGGACCCTTGTTGAGTTGGAAGCTGGCAGGTGTGACACTTACACACACTTTTTGAAAAGTGCATTCTTATCTAATATGTGACTATTTCATGTCCCTAAAAAAAAACATTGGCACAAAACCATCCCGTTTTTTTTATTTTGAAAAATTGGTCACTTTAGCGTGGTCATTCTCCACACACAAACTACCCATTACTCTGCCCCCCCCCCCCAAAAAAAAACTAAAGCCACCAACCATACACACAGTGATAGTAAAATGTATCAGACCATTTCAAAGGTGGATTGCTGCTACTCATCAACTTTATCCCTCTTCTAAATCACACAAAAGGGGAAGGGTGAATGGAAAATGACCATAGTCACCCACCTGTAAAAGTCAACTTATAGAAACAATAGTCACTAATATATGGTAATGTTACAGTGTCTAGTAGGCAGCTAGAGGGGGAGAGGTCGTATATACATAGAGTCAGTTTGATGTGTGTTTATGCACACGTGAATTCTCTGTATGTATTGTGTATGTGAATGATTACGTGGGAACTGAATAATGTTACTGTAGCTCTGGTCTGGGGCAGGAGAGTACTGCTGTTCGTGGCACTAATTTGGGAGGGACCTAGCCAAGCTGTGCTTAATGGAAAAGCACACCCCATAAGAGTCCTGCATTTCAAGTCCACGTGGGTTGGTACAGGGACCTGAATGTGCACACTTGCTGAGCAGAAACAGGCCAATAATGCTGCATAGCTGATACCTCACTTACCGCTGCTGTGTGCTTTACTGTTCTAATACAGTATAATGACTGTGTTTGCTTGTAACTTTAACAGGAAAAATAAAATTGGTGCAGTCTCATCTGCAAATACAAACTATTTGTTAACCCATGTTCTCAAGCAATGCCCTTTCCAAAATACACTAATAACGCAGTGTTAATAATGCCTTTGCTGATGTATGTTATCTCCACACCCTCCCAGTGTCAGGTAATCATTACTAACAGGCATGTTTGTCATGTTGCTGATTTCATTTTGCAGGGAGGTGAGCATGGGAATTAACCCTTAAGAAACTGTATGCAGAAGCTGAACTTTTCCAAGGTTTGCAGTGCAAGGTAGTCAACCATTCACTGGCTGAGCCAGGACATATGAGCTTCAGCTCTTTTACTGTGATTCTTCAGTGTAAAAAGACAAATCAAACTGTGTTTATATGATTTGTATAAAAACCCTTTAAAAATGCCTATTTAATAAACATTACAGTAGAGAGGCTGTTCCAGTTTGTTTTGTAAAAGGAAAACTTAAAAGTAAGGGGTGGGGAGTATGCTGGCGTCTTTATGTGGGTGTGTTGTGAGCCCCCAGTTATGGGTGGCTTGGCCTGTTAACGCAAAGGAACCCAGGGAAATGTAGTTTTGAGGCAGGGCTGAGGAGTGATGTAACCCCAGATGGAAATCACATGCTTTCGGGAATGTCCACAAGGCAAGGCTATGGCTCACTCTAGTGACGTTTGGGTAGCAGTAAGACCAAGATCTCCATCAGGGCCAGATAGCTGGCCTGAGGCATGGAGCTTGGGAGGGTTCTTAGAGCAGGCAGGAGAAAGACATTAAGAAGGAGGTAGAAGGAAAAGTCCTGAGGCAGTACGGTACAGCTTGGCTGGAGGCCCACTGATGGAACTAGCATTCATTTAGAGACAGGAGGTGTCCCAAGGAGGAAGGACATCCTGCTTTCCTGCCCTCTCAAATCCAGCCCTGCAGGAATCTTTACCCTGATTAGGCCTGGTAAGGACAAAAGACTATTGATTGACTCCACGAAGGTCAAATCGTTACTGATGTGCTCTGGGGAGGGTGAAGCTGCAGGGTAAGGCTGAGAGGGTTCACCAGAGTGAAACACGCCTCCAGCTGAGGTGGGCTGAACGTCCAGCTTGTGTTTCCATTGGACTCTTCTTTAAACTCTGGAAAGAGGCGGGGGGGGGGGGGGGGGGGGGCTTTTTGGGTTTTAACAGAGGGTCCAAAGTATCCCATCGACCTACATGCCTGAGGCAAACTGTCAGCAGCAGGGAAACAAAGGCAAAGCTGCAGGACTCATGCTGGAGTGGTAAATCGCTTGTCTAAAGGGAGACTGGACATAGCAGGAGATTGGCTCTTCTGCCTCGATACTGCTAGTTTAAATTGCCCCAGGTCAGTAGTAACCAAAACTTCCTAGTATGGTGATATTTGTTGTAGGTGAAGTAAGCTGCTGGGCTCAGTTAACAGCTGTAGATGTCACCAGTGATCTTCACCGCTGGCACTAATCCCACTCTGATTGTCACACCCAGTCCTGAAGTCAGCAAGGAAATGGCCAGGAGGGTTTGACTGCCTCCTCAGCCCTCTAGCGACTAGCTCAGGGAGGAGGGATGGTGGTGAGGCATTGTACGACAGCGTCCAATGCAGTTGCCCTAACTGCCCATTCCATGGATAGACCTGTGAAGCCTGATTTCATTGGTGATCCTGTTGTAGACACAACCCCCATGCCAGTGTGAGCCTGCCGTCACCTTCTACACAGTTCCACAAGCCTGGAAGCTGTTTGACTGTTGGCCTAATTACTAATCTTCAGGACAAAAATAAGGTTCAGAAAAAGAAAACAAGTTACAAGTCTTGCATTTTTTGCAGCTCGGTGTCCTTGGGGCAGGAGCTTTGGCATTTCCACTGAATTAAAAAAATGCCTCCTGGCATGCCGCACTCCATTGTTTACAGAGAACTTTTCCTTCTTATCTGCGTCCTGCTGAAGATGTTGACACAGGCAGGGTGGAAGGCTGAGCCAGTTTCAGGAATGGCAGAGGTCTGAAACTGGACCCAGTGCAGACATGATTAGGCCAAAACATGGTCCAGCTGGATTCTGGGGCCAGTCCGGGCCCTGGTGCCGGGGATGGTGATGAAGTGATGAAAGTGACACTTTGCCTTTCCATTCCCACATATTTCATGCGGTTATCTCAGCTGGTGCCAGAACAAATGGCTAGTTCTTGGGGGTGGAATGCTCATCTATGCTGTTACCGCCTGTGTGTTTGACAGAGGTTGTTACAACCAGCCCCTTGCCAGGGAGGCCTGTACTAATCACACACACCCCCCTTCATTAGAAATCCTCTCTCTTTTGTTATCCCTCCTCCGCCTCCCCCAACCACATACACTGTGGGTCCTTGGTGTGACTGAAAGATGGATCAAAACAAAAATTCTATGACCATTTCACAGCTTACCCCCCCCCCCCCCCCCCGTCCCCTCCCGAAAGAGTGTAGACAAACTCTGCTTATCAGCACAGAAGGAAGAACACTCTTGAAGGGGGTAAACTCAAGTCTTCCTCCATGCTCACCTCTGCTCAGAGCAATTATTCCCTGAGCCAGTTTTCTTGTGGTTTGGAGTAGGATCAGGGCTGGCTTAACCTTTTGTGGACCCGGCGCCAAACATTTGTGCGCCCCCATGGGGCCATGGAGCATGGCATGGGGGGAGGGGGAGGTGTCGGTCAGGGGCATGGCATGGCAGGGGTGGCCCAGCTCCGCCCAGCCCAGTGCAAGGGCACTATTTACAAACTGGCAGTTGCCAGACGCACAGTGACTGCCCGGCCCTGTGCTGTCAGCCTGCCCCTTCCCCTTGGGGGTGGGCCCATGCCGGGCCATACGGCCCCCCCCCCCCACTCAACACCGGAACACACACACCCAATTTCCTATGGCCAGAGTCCCCCCAGACTCGCTGTGCCCAGCACTCCACTGCCACAAATGCACAGCGCCCTGCACACAGGGCCGGCTCTAGGTTTTTTGCTGCCCCAAGCAAAAAAAAATTTGGCTGCCCCCCGTCCCAGCCCTGGGCTCCTCGCCGCACCCCCCTGCCGCCCCAGCCCTGGGCTCTCCCCCACCACTCGCACCCCCCTGCCTCCCCAGCCCTGGGCTCTCACCCCCCCCCAACCCGCAACCCCCTGCCGCCCCAGCCCTGGGCTCTCCCCCACCCAACCTGCACCCTCCTTCTGCCGCAGCCCCGGGTCACTGGTAACTCACTCCCAGGGCAGGTCATTCAGCAGGGATTTTAGATGTGCACAGAACACAGACAGGATTGGTTCCCATATGGTTACAGAACTGCAGTAAAGTGGAACGATTTTCAGCTTGTGTGATTGGAGGATATCTGGTTGCATATTATAAGACTGTCCTACATAAATGAGGAAAAGTTGAGGTGCCTTTATTATTCTTTTGTTCCACTCTTTCTTTCTATGGGGAATTTGCCAATGCAATATCACTGTCTTCCTTTTAAACAAACAAACAAACAAAAAGGCAATGGCTGTTGAAAATAGCAATTCCAGTCCTAATAACCACTGGGAAGCATTTCTTGCTCAATTTTATCCTACTTTTTCTACAGCAAGTTACAGTGGATCAGTATATTTGATTTCGGAGAAATGAAGTAACAGCTGCCCAAATTGAGCTTGAGCACTCCTGAATTTTGAGGTGTTCAAATCTGGAAGGCAGGTGCTGGGGGGGGGGCGCTGTGGCGCCGCAGGGGAGCACGGCAGCATGTATGCAGCAGCGTGTCTGGCGCTGCGCAAAGCCAGACACGCTGGTCTGAGTGGCATGATAAGGGGGCTGGGGGGTTGGAGAAGGGTTAGGGGGTTCCGGGGGGGGGCAGTCAAGGGACAGGGAGCAGGGGGGG